TCCTTCCTTCCTTCCTTCCTTCCTTCCTTCCTTCCTTCCTTCCTTCCTTCCTTCCTTCCTTCCTTCTCTCTTGATATAGAACTTAATGGTACTTTCCATAAAACAGACTTTTTGCCATGTAGAATTCAATAGTGCCAGTATCTACTTTCTTATTTTTAAATAGCAGCCTCTCCCTTCTGATTCCTGTAGCATTTAAGAAGTTTCCCCAATGTTGGGCAGAAGGAAAGGAAAAACTCTGTCTTATAGCACAGAGTTTTCTCCTCATTTTGTTGACCCTAGACCAGGGGCATCAAACTTGATTTCATTGAGGGCCAGATCAACATTGTGGTTGTCCTCCAGAGGCTGGGAGGGAGGGGAGGGACCGGAGTGGTCAGAGCCGACTGGGCATGGCCTGAGAGACCTGGCCAGCTTGACATTTTCCAGCAGAAAAAGGCAAAACCCACCCATTGCATATGCTGGATTTGCTTAATCTCTCGATTCGCTTAATGATCATGTGATTTGGTTAATGACCGTTGTGGCTTACTTTACGATCATTGTAAAATGGTTCTAAAATTGAGTCAGGTTACATGGGCACCTACTTAATGGCTGCAATGATTTACGACCAAAATTCTGGGTCCAATTGTCATTAAGCAAGGGTTCCTATACAGCCTTGCACTCCCTTCCTCTCCAATGAATATAAATATAAATATGAATTCCTTTGTGCTGGAGTGAGCATTCCAAATGTCTGGGGAATGGTTAGGAGGCAAAGTAAAACTGATCAGCCTTTTCAGTTTCATTGTCAATTTCAAGCTTGAAATCCCAGTTGTGGTCACACAATTTTCCCCACTTAGCAACCCGGACTCGCTGGTTCCTAATTGTGGTTGCTAAACAAGGACTACCTATATTAAACTGAAAAGAATAAAACAGTGTTTCATGAAATTGCTGTCCAAATGTTGGGTCAGTCCATATTTAAAATAATGACATGGACTTAGAAATACTTTTTTTTTCTTCAAATGTTATAGATCTGGCAACCGTAGTTGGTTATTTGGTTGTTAGCCGTCCATTTCTAAACTTGTCTCATCCTCGTCATCAGAATAGCACCCATGCTGAACTTTTGGAGGTGAGTAATATATTTGCTGCAGTGATTGTAATAAATGACACACATATTGCTTGTTTGTTTTTTGAGAGAAAAAAACCCTATATTTCATTGTTTTAAGGATTACTACCAAAGTGGAAGAATGCTGCTGAGAATGTCTCAGGCCCTTGGCAGAATAGTTCTAGCTGGCCGTGAAATGACTCGATTGGCTGGGTAAGTGTCAAGTACAAGCAACTAGAGCCACCCATAAATAGTTGAAGTAAACAATTTTATTGACTTCTACCTGTGCTATAAGAATCTGCCCAGACTGCTCGCCTTCCTCAGAAACAGCCAGATACGGCTTTATGGATCTTGAAGGAGGAGGTCAAGCTTGGCTTTGCAAGAACTCTAAGCTAGATCCTCACTTGACTCCTGCTTCTAGCCTGGCCAGCAGTTTCCCCAACAATAAGATTGACCAATAAGTGTAATCCTATTTTCATTCATAAAATAAATTTATTTTATCCTCCTTGTATTCATTTCTAATTATGAGATAATTGAGATTAATTTGATTGTTTTGAAATATAAAATATAAAGTATTTTAACAAAGCTTGGACCATTATTTAATCGAAAAAAGTAGTTTCTAAATAATTATAATATGCTCTCATGATATGTAATATTTTTGATTTCCATTTTAAACTGTTGATTTCATTTAACTATTGCTTACAGTATTAAAAAGAGTAAAGAAAAAAGACAGCAACAAAACATATGGAGGGAGAAACTGAAAGATTTGGAAACAAGTAGACAAAAGGACCCAAACAATTCAAACATTAAGAAAGAAATTGATCTGGTAAAACATAAGATAAATCTAAATCGAAAAATTAAATTAGCAAAACAAAATTATTTTGAAAATGCAAATAAGCCGGGGAGGTGGTTAGCCCATAAAATTAAAAAAGAACAAGAAAAGAGAATGATCGTAGCTCTCCAAGATCAGGAAGGGAAATTATGCACACAGACCCAAGAAAAGAAAAAAATTGCTAAGGAGTTTTTTATGAAATTGTATAAACAGGAAGAAATACCAGAAGAATCTATTGATCAATACTTGAATGAAAAAAACTTGCCCGAAAATACTGATGAAGAGAAACAAAATTTGAATAATAAAATATCTATAGAAGAAATTAGGAAGGCAATTGGAACACAAAAAGCAAATAAGACTCCTGGCCCAGATGGAATTCGTTCGGAATTCTATAAGGAATTCCAAGAAACAATAGAGGAGATATTGGTGGACTTGTACAATGAAGCCCTGGAGAATGCTAACATGCCTAAATCATGGTTGGAAGCATATATTACCCTTATTTATAAAGAACAATCAGACCCACAAAAAATTCAAAACTATAGACCAATATCACTTTTAAATGTAGATTACAAAATAATGGCTACAATATTGGCAGAAAGATTAAAGAGAGTATTAAGTAGAATTATCCACATTGATCACAATGGCTTCCTCCCCCATAGGCAAATAAAAACAAATACAAGAACCATTATGGATATATTAGAATATTATGAAGTATACTCAACCAAGACAATGGCATTGATATTTTTAGACGCCCAGAAGGCATTTGACAACCTGAATTGGAATTTCCTTATTAAACAACTGATAGGCATAAAATTTGGTGAAAATTTTATAGGATTTATTAAGACAATTTATAACATGCAAACTGCAAAAATATTAATAAATGGGGAAAATACAGATACCATAAAGATAAATAAGAGAGTAAGACAAGGCTGCCCCCTAGCTCCTCTATTGTATATATTGGCAGAAGAGACTCTCTTAGTACAAATTAGGCAAAAACAAGAGATTAGAGGACTAAAAATTAAAAAAGAGGAATATAAACTCCAGGCATTCGCCAATGATATGGCATTTATATTAGAAGAACCCTTAGAAGTGAGCCCTATACTACTAAGAGAAATAGAAGAATATGGAAAGGTGGCAGGGTTAAAAATTAACAAAGAAAAAACAAAAGTGTTAACAAAAAACTACAAAGCAGAAGGAAGAACTAGCAAATAAATTAGGTAGCAAATAAATTAGGTATGCAGGTGGTAAATAAAATAAAATACTTAGGGATCTGGTTGACTGCTAGATGTTTGTCGATTAAAAAAGATAACTATGATAAGTTAATAACGCAAATAGTTAAAGATTTAGATAATTGGGCCAAATTGCAGTTATCACTATTGGGACGTATTTCGATAGTAAAAATGAATATTTTGCCAAAACTGTTTTCTTGTTTCAGACAGTGCCAGTCAAATTGGAAAAGAATTTTTTTGTAGAATTAAACAAATGTATATCTAAATTTATATGGCAGAGGAAAAAACCCAGAGTGAAATATAAATTATTACAGGATGCCAAGAAAAAAGGAGGATTTGGCCTTCCAGAATGGTTTTTTCTTCATCCTGATTGGTTGGGAGTCTTGGTCTGCTATTTTTCTGTCTGTTTTGAAGACAGAATCACATCAAGACTACCTTCAAAACAGACAGAAAAATAGCAGCCATCCTTAGAAACCCCAAAGATAAAATTGACCTGGAAAACCAAGGCATATATGAAGTCCCCTGTGCATCATGCCTGGCCACATACATTGGACAGATCAATAGAAGAATAAGTACCCGCCTGGATGAACACAAAAATGCAGTAAAAAAGCTGGAACACACTTCCTTACTAGTCCAACACATGAAAGCCACAGGTCATAGCATCAACTTCAATGGCACCAAAACCCTAGCCACTATAGAAAACCCCAGCCACAGAATTATCAGAGAAGCCATAGAGATTGAAAAAAGACCTGAAAGCATGAATAGAAGAGATGATTCCACCAGACTGTCAATTATTTGGAAGCCTGCACTCACAAACAAAAAAATCTCCACACCACAAGCCAGGCAAACACCTGGGCACAAACAGATCCCCCCTGATACCTCCAGCTCAAACACACCCCAACCAGGCACCCAAATGAAACCTAACTTCCTAACAAATGATAGCTGTCCATTTACTCGGAGCCAAGCTGCACTAAAAGCCTCCAATACAGGAACACAATGTTGCCAGCCAACCAAGACAAAGAAAGCCACAAAACAGACAGAAGATATTAGAAACACCAATCAAGCAGAACACAGCAAACTCCAAGACCAATAAACACAGACCAAGACTCCCAACCAATCAGGATGAAGAAAAAAACATTCTGGTACAGCAGTAGGCTAGCCCCAAATTTAAAACTGAAACAACTGTAAAAGTCTGACTCACAGATGAACACAATACAGAAACCTGATGATGGCAGATGAGATTCTGCCGAAACGTTGCTACAACTTTAAAAGCACAACTATAATGACATGGGAAAATACCCTAACAAAGCTGAATATCATACATAAATACATACATACATACATACATACATACATACATACATACATTGATTTGTCTGTTTTAAATGTATGTCAAATAAATGTTTTTTCTACAATACATTTTTTTTAAAAGAAAAAAGTAGTTTCTAAATAATTATAATATGCTCTCGTGATATGTAATATTTTTGCTTTCCATTTTAAACTGTTGATTTCATTTATTTTTGATGAACATTCAGTTTTGAAGAAAAATTCTTGAAGTCTGTCAGTTTAATAGATTTATAACCTTTAGCTTCACAGCTCGAATTACAGAATTAATGCAAGTTCTGAAGGAACTAAACACAGGGAAATATCAACGAACCATGCTAGTACAAGACAAAGGTAACTATGATGCCCTGAGGTTGATTAAGGAATTAATATAAAAACACAATTGCTTGCTTGTTGTTTTTACAATTGATTACTGTTGTTTTTTTAATTTAAGACTTAGACCTAAAGCAAGCCACCCCGTTGATTCCTGGAGCGGGACGGATTGTCATAACAGATAACATTATCAAGTAGGTAAAATCCTTCATTTCTTATTAGGATGTCCCATTAACCGTTTTCATTTTTACATACCTATCCATGCTATCTAAATTTTATTTTTAATTTTTAGCATTTGTGGTAGTTCTTTGCACTTGCCTCTTACCCAAAAGAGTAAATTGTACAAGAAGCAGCTGTGAGACCGTGTCTACAATTGCTTCCTGGCAATGCCATTTTTTTTCTCTTCCCCATTCCCAATTGTGGTCTTCTGAATGCAGAAAACCTAATCATGTAGGCCTCTGTATGAATGTGCTTCAGCAAATCTTGGAGTTTGAATCATCTGCACGGGATTCAATGAATTAAATTAAAAAGCAAACCGCATTACATTTGAAAGGTTTAATGAATAGCACAAGCCGCTACTTGTTCAGTTGGCAGAATTATCTAGCAATCTGACTTGATTGATTTAAGACAGCAGTTCTCCCACGAGCTGTTCAGAGCATCCAGTAGTGGGAGGTGCTTCAATCTCTGCTCATCTTGGCTGGGCTTAATTTGCGGAACGCTCCTCCTCCTCCACAGGACTCCTCCCCAGCGTTCCCCAGTTTTGGCTCAGCCTTGCGTGAGATAGGCAGTGCTTTTTTGTTACTCCTTGGCCGAAACAGGAGAATTCTCTTTAAGGTTTGACAGGTAGTCAATTGTTCTTTTCTTACCGACGCTGCCTTTGCCATCTGGCCATTGGGGATCGCATAACCAGGAAGCGCTCCACAACCCCCACAACCGCTAGCCCTACCCTTGCCATTACGATTGCCGAGCCACTTTATTATTTAAACGGCGGGGCTTTTTTTCTCTCGTTCCTTTCTGAGTCGTATCACTGTTTCTCCTTTCCCCCAAGAACGCCGTTTAGGGGTGGAGGTGTAATCGCCTCATTATTTCACCCCTCCCCGCTGGTTTAGCCCTAAGGGAAGACTGTTGGAACTTATCTCTTTTTCTTGGTGGGAGAATGCTGCTGGCGCGCGCGCCACAAATAACATCCGGTCGCCATTTTTTTGTTTTTTTACTGTCAAGGGACCGCGTGGCCGCGTTGAGTGCTAATTCAGAAGACTGTGTGAGGTAATCCTTATTCCAGATTGAAGGGGTTTTTTTCCCCACAAAATACCCCGAGGAATCATTACAACCTCGTTTTTAACATATTCGAGGTTTTTGTTATTTCGTGTTGTTGGCTCAACGCTCACAGTTTTCCCTATCCAGCGGCACAACAGTGAGCACCTAGGCCAGCGTCCACCTGTGCAGGGAAGTTGTTGAAGGCCTGTAAGTGATTATTTGGCCTGCTAGGCGTTCTCAATTTGGCTGATTGGGACATCCAAATTTGATATATATTTGCACATATGCTCTGATAATATTAATCACACCAATATAATAATACTGGCAACTTCATAACAATAATAAATGAATTGTTGAGATACGACTCAATTTTGAAGCAGATATCCATATTTTTTAAAAAAAACAAATAATAAAAAGAAAGTACGGGGGATTTGATTTCAGGGCACCCTGTCCATTTCTTGGCCAGGTCCCTGGGTGCGCCAACCGCCTACACAATATAGCATTAAATAACGAGCGTACTGGTCCTTCCATAGTCACAATGGCGGGGGTAGTGGTTCACACTCCTCAACTTCAAGGGACAAGTCCAAATCTCAACACAATCCTAAGCAAAAAAAAGGGACTTCTAAAGCATCAGAAAAGGATGCCAATAGGCGCCACAAGGCTCTGGAAAAACAAATAGATAAATGCACACGGGAGGCACATAGGACCTCTCAAGCCTTTTCACCACACAGTCCAGAGCCGTCCTCCTCTTTCCTCCCTCCTACCCCCCTAGATCTCTCCCTCTTATCCAGGCGCAGCATGGCTCCCCTGAGTCAACAGGTCCAGTCAGCTCAATCACCAACCATGCGAAGAATACCCGAAGTGACGTTCACACCAACGGCTGCTGGTCTTCGACAGGACCAATCTCTTCCAGAGTATGTGCCAGAGTGAATGAAGACCTGGATGGAGATGGCTATCAGTCAGGGAATTGCATCAGGCCTGCAACATGCGGTTCTGATCAGGGATCATCCCGCACCCGCTGAGTATGATTCGCAATCAGTTCGGTCATTGGCCAGGTCAGAGCTACGCTATACCCAGGTATAGTGTCAAGGGGGTATGCTCCTACAGGAGCCGCAGGAGGAGGAGCAGGAGGAGGCGGCGGAAGAGATGGAACACTTTGAACACATGGACCAGAGTGAATCAGAATCAAGGCATAATACTGACCCGGCCATGTCGGAAACAGACCCCTTAGAAAGGGGGATGTCTGAGGGCCTCGCTCCCGACCAACCTGTATTTACAGGCTTGTTCCGGCCACAACTTTTCAAATCTCTATTGTTCAAGGCCAAAAATACTGCGCAACTGGACAAGCCGGCCCCTTCTACCACTCCAACTCCATCAGATGAGGGACCAGAGGATCTCATTTTCACTCAACCTGTTGTTGAGGCAGACGTGATTCCAGTCCCCCACATGTTTGCAGACCTGGTACAGAAACAATGGGCTTCTGCAGCAGTGTACCCGGCCCCCACTGGTTACGACAGGAAATTCTTTAATTTGGCCCCAGATTTCTTAAAATTGTTGAATACTCCTGAGTATAGATGAGTATAGATGAGTATAGATGAACCCACTGTGGGATTAGCGTCCTCGTCCTCCATTCCCAGTGAGGCACTGAAGGCATTAAAGCCGGAGGACAAACGGGCCGAGCTAGCCCTACGCAGGGCCCATCAGTCTGACGCTTGGGCCATCAGAGCAGCCACAGCCGCTTCCTTCTTTACCCGTTCTTCCCTCAGATGGCTCCGGCTATTATGGAAGCATGTCCCAATACCAATACTAAACACACCAAGACATTGCAAAGCTGACAGCAGCCACCGAATTCTCAGCTGACGCAACCTTTCATGCAGTTAAGTTTTTAGCCAGAGCCATCACTTCACATGTCACAGCACGACGCTTGCTATGGTTAAAGAACTGGCAAGCGAACATTAAACATAAATGCAAGCTCGCTTCATCTCCTCTAGCGGGAGACAGACTGTTTTGGCCCTTTCCTCGATCTGCTACTCATCGAGACTCAAAATAAAAATAAAATTTTACCCTCCCTTTTTCGGAGGTCAGACCCTAGAAACCCTCAGTCTTTTCGGAGGGGATCCTTTTGGCCCTTTTATCAGGGACTGTTGTCAACCAGATACCAGAAATCCCCACCTTTCCGACCAGGGCAACAGCCAGAGAGGTCAGACTTTGGGGATAGGAACAGAAGGGGTGGCCAACCCAAGAAATCCTTCCGAGGAGCGGGAAATAGATTTTTCCGGCATCCAAGATAATCCCATGGACCCGCCTCCCATTGGCAGCCGCCTTAAATTATTCGCGGACCAATGGGACTCCTCAGCGTCTGATTCCTGGGTCAGAGACACGATCAGATTCGGCCTTGCGCTGGAGTTTCAATCCGCTCCCCCAGACTTCTTTATGCCGTGCCCTCTTTCCAGAGATCCGGTTAAACGAGATCTTATGGAAACAGCTATTCAGCACTTACTGGACATACAAGCCATCCAACCAGTAGCTACCAATCAACGAGGGCGAGGTTTCTATTCACATCTTTTTGTTGTTCCCAAAAGTTCAGGGGGGTGGAGAGCAATCTTGGATTTGAAACGCCTTAATCAATTTTTAGTATATCGCAAATTTAAAATGCACACCCTACAATCTATCTTACTTGGTATCAGAAAAGGTGACGTCCTTACATCTATAGATCTGATGGAGGCATACTTACATATTCCAATTAAGCCATCCCACTATAAATTTTTAAGATTCTGTTATAATAATCTCCATTTTGAATATGTGGCTCTTCCCTTCGGACTAGCCTCTGCCCCCAGGACCTTCACAAAGGTCCTCACAGCCCTCGCTGCTCATCTCCGGGGTGTCCCCATATGACTGCAGTGTTACCTCGATGATATCTTAATTCTGTCACCTTCTGTTCAGACCACATTACATTTCTTACAACTACACGGGTTCTCAATCAATTGGGAAAAGAGTCATTTAACGCCTTCGACTCGATGAATCCATCTGGGGGCAGTCATAGATACAGTGGAGGGCAAAGTTTTCCTGTCACCAGATAGACAAAACAGCATTCATCAATTAGTTAAGGAGGTCAGGATTCTCAGGAGGGTGTCCCTAGCTGATTTATCAAAATTGTTAGGCAAGATGATCTCATGTATATCTATTATTCCTTGGGCCCAGCTCCACACTAGATCCCTCCAGTGGTTCCTGTTCCCGTACCAGCGATCCAGCCGAAGCAACTCCAAATACAAGGTCAAAGTTCCATCACAGGTCCTCATATCTCTCCTCTGGTGGACCAGACCAACCATAAACAAGGGTTGCCTATTCAAAGAGCCCCACAGACTTACCATCACCACCGATGCCAGCCTGATTGGATGGGGAGCTCACTTTCAATCGCTCATAGCCCAAGGCCGCTGGTCCTCCATAGAATGATCGCGCAGCATAAACTGGCTGGAGCTTCGAGCAGTACACCTGGCTCTCCGCAGCTTCCTTCCACAGGTACGCAACCAACACATTAATATTGACCGACAATGTAACTGCGAAAGCTCACATAAACAAACGGGGGCACTCAGTCAAAACACCTCATGCGAGAAGCGGAGCATTTGTGTCATTGGGCAGAGAGCAACCTGATTTCCATCAGAGCAGAACACATTTCAGGACTGTCGAATATGCAGGCAGATTGGCTAAGCAGGGCCACGATAGATCCATCGGAGTGGCGCCTCCATCTGACCCTCTTTCAAGAGGCGGTCAGGACATTTGGGCAGCCAGTAGTAGACCTGTTCGCTTCCCCCCTCAATGCTCAGCTCCTGAGATTTCTTTCCAGATACCCCTCACAAGGAGCGGAGAATTTCAATGCGCTCCGTTGCCGTTGGCTCCTGGGGCTTCTGTATGCATTCCCGCCCCTTCCACTGATCCCCAGGGTCATCCAGAAGCTGCTCAACGAGAGGGCGGAACTGCTTCTAGTAGCTCTCTATTGGCCCAGACGTGGTCGTGGTTTGCAGACCTTCACAGTCTATCTGTATCACCACCATGGAGAATTCCGCCAGACAGGGTCTTGTTAACCCAAGGACCCCTGCAACATCCGGACCCTCAATGGAGGTTGAGCGGACCCTGACCATCTGGAGGTTGAGCGGAGTCGTCTGAAGAGCAAAAAGTTTTCCAACAGAGTTATCGCCACTATCCAAGCTGCCAGACGCCCCTCAACAACTCGCATCTACAATGCCACGTGGTCCAGTGTCTACAAATGGTGTACTAAGTCTCAAATTGATCCCATTTCTCCATCTGTGGCGCAGATCCTAGAGTTCTTACAAGATGGGCTTGACAAGGGATTATCACCTAATACGTTGAAAAGACAAGTGGCGGCCTTGGCGTCAGTCATCACTTATGAAGGTCTCCTATCCCTTTCCCATCATCCACGCATACAGTGTTTCCTTCGAGGAGCCACAAACGTACTCCCGCCAACGGTTCACCGTTATCCACTTGGGACCTTAACAAGGTCCTTCTTGCACTCACTAAGTGCCCTTTCGAGCCCTTGCAATCGTCAAGTCTCCAATTTCTGACATATAAAGTATTTTTTCTTGTAGCGATCACTTCCGCTCGTCGTATTTCAGAACTGGCAGCCTTGTCGATCAGGCAAGATCTTTGCATCTTCCATTCCGACAGGGTTGTCCTTCGTCCCGATCTTACATTTATACCCAAAGTTAATTCAGCCTTTTACAGGGCACAAGAACTGATACTTCCTAATTTTTGTCCCAGGCCATCCCAAGGGCTGGAACGACAGTGGCATCGGCTGGACGTGAGACGAGCGTTACAAATATATATTCACCGCACAGCCTCTTTTAGAAAAACGGAGGCTTGTGTCTTTTCAGCCCAACAATCAGGGATGCAAGGTCTCATCCTCCACAATAGGCCGTTGGCTACAGGCCGTAATTGCAAAAATGTATCAGACTCAAGCACTTCAGGTGCCCAGGGGCATAACAGCTCATTCAACAAGGAGCGCCGCAACATCTGCAGCATGGGCCAGGCAGGCACCAATCACTGACATCTGTCGTGCCGCAACCTGGGCCTCTCCATCGCCTTTCATTAGGCATTATAAAATAGATGTGTTTGCATCAGCCGAGGCCTCCTTTGGCAGAAGGGTGCTGCAACGGGTCCACAGGGACCAGGAGGGGATCCCAAGGCAGACAGAGTCCCTCCTGTAGGACAGGCCAAGCTTTGGTATGTCCCACTACTGGATGCTCTGAGCAGCTCATGGGAGAAAGGGTGTTGGTACTTACCTGACACGCCCATTCTCCTTGAGCTGCAAAGAGCATCCAGCCCCACCCTCTTCCGTCTGGTGGGATCCTGTGTCGGCCAACAAATTTTTACAGTGTTAAGGGCGAGGGTGTTTGTTTCTCTCATCTTTGCCAAAACGGGGGAACGCTGGGGAGGAGTCGCGTGGAGGAGGAGGAGCGTTCCGCAAATTAAGCCCAGCCTAGATGAGCAGAGACTGAAGCACCTCCCACTACTGGATGCTCTTCGCAGCTCAAAGAGAATGGGCGTGTCAGGTAAGCACCAACGCCCTTTTTATATTGGTTAACGTTTTATTCCAACTGTCAACAACTATTGCCATCTCTTGGATGTACAAGAAGCTTTGTGGGAGAGAATTGCAGTAAAGTAAATAAACAAAACAGACTTGATTAAACAACAGTTAAAAAGGTTATTAAACTGTTACTGTTCATATATGCCTGAATTTTCAAAAGGAAACGTTCAATATCAACACATTTCTACCTTTAGTTCTCTTTTATGTAAAAGTAGTCCTTGAGTTATGATGGCAATTGGAACTGGAATTTCCACCGCTGAACAATGCGATTATAAAGCTTGATATCATGTGACTTCATTGCTTAGCGACAGCACTCCTGACAGTCCTAATTGCAATTGTGAACTGAATTCCACTCATTATCCTGAGGACCCATCCCAATGCAAATCAATCTTGGCTTGATAGCAAGCAGCCCAAGAACTGCACAGCCTAGGGCAGTGATGGCTAACCTTTTCCTCATCGAATGCTGAAAGTGTGCATGCGCACACATGTGCCTGCACCCATAATGCAGGGCGCGTGTGACCCCCCGCCCCCCTGTGCATGTGCACATGACCCACCTGCACTGAGCGCTTCTGTGCATGCGTGTGCGGCCTCCCTGGCATGCACCCTGCACATGCACACACATCTGCACATGCGTCTCCCACACCTGCGCGGAAGATACCCGACAATCAGCTGGCGGGGATGTGTGTCCATGCACAGTGGGTCTGTTCCGGGCGACCTCTTGCGTGCCAGCAGAAATGGCTCTGCGTGCCAGTTCTGGCATGCGTGCCATAGGTTCGCCATCAATGGGCCTAGGGCCTGCTTGCCAGATTGCAGCTCACGAGCTTCATGGCTTGCCACAGCTCTGGGTCTGCAAGGAGTCTTGAGCCTTAGCACAAAGCTGCAGTTGCCCCAGGAAGCAACAACCATCACAATGGGAAGTCCCAGCCATCTCAAGAAGTTGCAGCTGCCCCAACACCAGCTGCCTTTTTTGTTCTGCCCTCTGAAGCCCCTTCCATCCTGTGTTAAATTTTATTGCCCCAGCTAAATTTTATTGTCTTCTTCTTCCCCCTGCTGACAAGGTGTAATGGGGTATGTGGGAAAGAGCTTGGGAGACAGAGCAAACAGAACCTGCCAGGGGAACAATGATAGCTTTGCCCACACCTGCAGAGTAAGTTCTGGCACAGATGGGGAAGATGGGTGGGGGAAATTGAAGCGCCCCTGTGATTGTAAGTGCAGATGGGCTGCCAAGCACCTGAATTTTGATCCCTTAACTGCAGGCCTTGACTACGGCTTGACAGCTGTAGCTTCAGGAACAGGGTGTAAGTTATCATTCACCTGTAACTTTGAACAGTCGCTGAACAAATGGTTGTCACTTGAGGAATACCCATATCATTTTTGAAAAGAAATTGCACAACAAATTTAAAAGAGAGGGGCAGAGGTTAATGCTTGTGAAACATAATGGTATTTATATTTTCAACTTTGTAGATTTTCATATATTTTCCCATCTTCGACTTCAAAAACACATTTTGTTTTTTTCACTGGTGCTTATTTTGTGGCACGGCTATGTTGAAAACACCTTGAAAATATTACTCTCTTGTTTAACAGTAATCCACTAGTAAATTTAGTAGTTTATGAATTAATTTATTCATTGTCCCTTTGTAATGGTAATGGTAATATCTTCAATAATTAATGATGGCATGTCTATTTTCCTTGAAGATTTGATCATGTTCCATTGGCAACACCAAATGGCGATATGCTGATTAGAGATCTCAATTTTGAGGTAATTTGCAACATTGACAATTTTATCTTGAAATAGTTAGCTGAATAAGAATAAAAATCTGTTTTGTTCCTCTTCCCATCCCAAAGCATTGTCTTTGGAAGATTATTTCAGAACAAAGTGATCTCTGGTAGTAAGGGAGATTGCCTTGAAAATGAAAAACTATCCAAAATTAGTAGAAATATTTTGATCAGTGAAATGTACCCAATTGTGAGCTATGTCTCCTTCTCAGTATAGGCCGTTCCCCAGACAATCAAAAAGATTTTCTAAAGTTGGGGGAAAGTGCCAAGAGGCAGGAAAAGGAACAATTTCTATATGAGAAACTTTTAAGAGGGGAACTAACCCAGGTAGGCTGTAAGTGGTTTCCCCATCTTCTGCATGCATAACACTAAATATTTGCAGAAAACTCATCCTGGTGATAATCATGCTGTACACATGGAAACCAGGAGTAATTTTACGAACAGATTGCTATTCTCTATGGACCTTGTCAACACTAGTATAGGAATTTGAAACAATACATTAATCAGGCTAGGGGTTTTTTCCCCATTAGGTAGTTATAATATACATATCCATTCCATAATATTTTTTGTGTAGCTCCAAGATGGTCTTACTAGGGTTTTAGTACAGACTGTTTTGTCCTATCCAGATCCGTATAGCTTCCAGACAAAGAAAAAGGACCTCCACAGTTGATGGGAGTCCAATTCAGTGTTGGGTTGCAGCATAAAACTTGGTAATTCATCAGCACCTCAAGTCATATCAGGACTTCTCCCGTGCTCCATATAAATGATAAAGAGTAGGGTAGAGAGAGAACCAATCTCTGTGGCATTCCACAAATAGTAGCCAGAGGGATGGCCCTTAAGATAGATCAGATCAGAAATCACTCTGCTGGAAGAACAGAACTATATTTGATTGAGACAGGCTACAATAACAAAATCTTGCGATTTATTTTCATACAACAATCTAGTTCAGGTTACTTTAAAAACACGTCAATTTTTAATTTAAGAACAAATTTTAATTTAAGAACATTTTAATATTAAAGAAAAGCAGGTCTGCCCCATTGTGAACTGAAAATTTGCATGTAGGTTTTTAACTTCCTTCTACCAAATTTTATAAACACTTCAAGGTTTGAATACTTTTGAGTGCTCATGTTTAAAGGAATATCTAGAAAATATTTGCCAAATCAAATATATGTTCCCAAGTTAATGAAGCAAACCTCATGCATTATGAAGGCAATCCATATACTGTAGCTTTTAATGTTTGAGAAACTTTAAATATATTCTGTCTTGATTTATATTCCAGGTGCAATCTGGTGCAAATGTTCTTATTTGTGGGCCAAATGGATGTGGAAAGAGTTCTCTTTTCCGTGTCCTTGGTGAAGTAAGTAAAGGCTAAAGTAAACTTGATTTTAAGGACATTTACATTTCTATTCTAATAAATTGTGTTTTCTTATTGCAGTTGTGGCCTTTGTTTGGTGGCTGTCTAACTAAACCCGAGAGAGGAAAGTTGTTTTATGTTCCCCAGGTAAATCAAACCACTAGGACTGTTGACGTTTCTTCTCTCTGACAAATGTCCCAATTTTCTAATCCCTTATCATTTTAATTTCAGAGACCATATATGACACTTGGGACGCTGAGAGACCAAGTAATTTATCCAGACACTATAGAAGATCAAAAAAGGAAAGGCATCTCTGATCAGGTGAAGTGCATTATTATTCCTACATTTTATTTATTTGAATCTCCCCTTTATTATTTTTACAAATAACTCAAGGCAGCTAACATATCCACACACTTTCCTCCTCCTATTTTCCCCTCAACAACAACTGTGAGGTGGGTTGGGCTGAGAGAGAGTGACTGACCCAAAGTCACCCAGCTGACTTTCATGGCTAAGGTGGTACCTAGCACTCACAGATTCCTGCTTTGTAGCCTGGTGCCTTAGCCATTAGACCAAACTGGCTCTATCTATTTTTAAATATTATATTTACTGTAGATATATAACACAAATAAATAAAAATTTAAAATACAAAAATCACTGTAAGTTTTAAAAGCATGTAATAATTTGAAATGCCAGTCATTTAAACCAGTTTTGTCTCGATATATATGTATATATATGTGTGTGTGTGCGTGTGTGTGTGTGTGTGTGTGTGTATTCGTTTAAACGTATTCTCATTCTCTTTCCCTCCCTCCCTTCCTCCCTCCCACACTGTGTATGTGTGTGTATGCTGTGTGTGTGTGTGTGTGTTGTATATATGTGTGTGTGTGCTGTATACACACATACACAGAGAGTATATGTGTGTGTATACTGTGTATACATAAAAACTGTGGATGGATATTCTTGTATTTATTGCAACCTTAATGGGAGCAGAGAAGAAGAGAAATTTATAAATATTTCTACATTTTTTTCTTTCTCTGAGAAAGATATAATACTTTAAAAAGTAAATATGTATCTATGATGGATAACTCTGCCAAAAGAATAATGTTCCTGGATAGAGTATTGTTTCGTTGGTTTTCACATTTGCTGCTATAGTGGTGTCTGTGTTTCAGATATTCCTTGCTTGATTCTTGTTTGTTTTTTAAATTGGGGTTAATGACAACATTGCTCATACAAGCCTTAATTTGCTCAATTACTGTAGAACCCTGAATTAGTGTAGAAGTGGAATAATAAAAGCTAATTTTCTGAATTTATTGTAGACACTGCCACATGGCAGATAGGAAAATGTGCTATTATGTGAGCATCCTGAAACTATAGGACAGAAAAATCAGGTGCATACTCCCTGTCTGCTGATACAGTTACAGGGTACGAATGTAGTAAAGAAGAGATGCATCAGTTCATCCGTACTTGCATAGAAATTACTCTTCTGCTTCAACTTCTGCTAAGCGTTCAAGATGGGAATTTTATAACTGTACACATGGATTTCCAAGTCCCATAGCTCTGTTTCCTATATAGAAAAAGAGAATATTGATTGAATCTGAATTCTGTGCTGATGCTTCTCTGAGTTAAATGCCAGGTTCTGTAGCAATGCCATTATGATTTCTATCTTGAATCGTAGAGAAATTGGAGAGAAAAAAAACTACAGTTCTGGCGAAAGAGAGCACTTGGTTATTTAGGTTATTTATTTTAATGGAAAGGAAGGTCAGCGAATCAGAACCGTTTTCAGGCTAATTGTATGTGAGGCTGCATAATATTTATCATATGCTTTAGTGCCACTTAAAATACATAATGTAGCTCAGTCAATATTGTTGCTTGCTACAGTTATCTGACAAAATTTTTTGAACTAAACCAATGTAAATTGTCAGGGAGGGAGAGGATTAAATAAATTCAACAGTGAGGTACTAGCAAATATATCTACAAGCTATTAAGCAATATTTGTTAACTGTTTTGGTTGCAGGTGTTAAAGGAATATTTAGATAACGTCCAGCTGGGTCAGATCTTGGAACGTGAAGGAGGCTGGGATAGTGTTCAAGACTGGATGGATGTTCTCAGTGGAGGAGAGAAACAGAGAATGGCGGTAGGTTGTCCTCACGGTGTCCCTAGACACTGTGTGCATTTTCCAGCACTTGTTTTGATTGACATGTTATCATAAATTCAGTAGTAAAATGGTGGTTTAATACTACTATTATTATTAATTACATTTATAGACCACCAAATCCGTAGGTTCCAACAAACATCAACTACTAGAGCAACCAGGGTTGTCTCCATTCCTAAGTGTAGAGTCTTTCAATAATTCGTTTCTTATAGGATGCTCCATAGTTGATGCCACTGTTATTGAACTGTGGTTTCAATAACCTTCCCCAAAAAGGAGAGGTTGAAGACTGGGCAATAGTTATCCAATAACTCTGGATCCAGAAAGAACTATTTGAGGAGGTGTATCACAGCCTCCCTCAAAGCTGCCATTAACATTCCATCCATCAGGGAGGCATTAATCATCTCCTAGGTCCAGATCTAGAAATTTCCTCTTCCTTAGCTGCCCAAAGGAGCCAGGAAGGGCAAACATTAAAACTATAGATGTTTGAGGAGATCTTAGCATCTTATCCATTTTGCTGGAGGTTGCAAGCCGAAAGGAATTGAAGTAAAATTATGCCCCAGTCATCGTCCTGGACCTACCATAGGTAGTCCTCGACTTACAACCACAACTGAGCCCAAAATTTCCATTGCTAAGCAAGACATGACTTTTTCCCCATTTTACAAACTTCCTTGCCTGATTGGTTAAATGAATCGTTGCAGTTGTTAATAACACTCTTGTCAAGTGAATCTGCTTCCCCATTGGCTTTGCTTGTCGGAAGGTTGCAAAAGGTGATCACATGACCCCAGGACACTGCAACTGTCATAAATTGCCAAGCATCTTAATTTTGATCACATGATCATGGGGATGCTGCAATGGTCCTAAGTGTGAAAAGCTGTCATAAGTTACTTTTTTCAGTGCCGTTGTAACTTTGAACAGTCACTAAACAAACTGTTGTAAGTCGAGGACCACCTGTACCTGTTAGTTAATAATTTGGTACAGTATTACATAGGAACAAAATGTGGTACAATGTCTGCTTTTTACAATAAGCTTTTTAAAAAATAAAAATAAAAAATAAGTTCAGTACTTAACAGTTTGGAATCTGCTTAATTCCAGTTCAGAATTTTTGTTCTTCTAATCTAGAATTAACTCAGACTGGCATCAGTTCTCAATCATAGATAAGTCTCTCATTAATTGCTACCTTTAAGTGGGTCAGAAATTTAGTAAAATGTTTGCATCTGCTTCAAGGGAAAAAAGAGAACTGTGTGCCACATATAAAATTAGCTTTGTTTTTATTTTAATGTTTACTAAAGGACCACGTACAAATAATGTGACTCTCTGGATAATATGAGTGTGGTGGAATTAATGGACCTTTGTGTAGTACTGTTGTGATTTGAACACCTTTCCCATCATATAATGTGGCTTATCTTTTATGATTAACTGGAAAATATCTTAGATTTTTAAAAAATAAAATCCAATTTAATGTTCTTCGTATGTATGGATTATACGTTAATGCTTTATCATTTCTTTTTTTTCATTGTAGATGGCTAGATTGTTTTACCATAAACCCCAGTTTGCCATTCTGGATGAATGTACGAGTGCCGTTAGTGTTGATGTGGAAGGATACATTTACAGCCATTGTCGGAAAGTATGTCTTTCTGTGGTTAATCTTGCATTGCTAGTTTCAGATCCAACTTTAAAATCATGTTAAAAAAAGAAAAGAGTATATTACTATAGTAACTTTAGGCCTACAGATCCTAACCCTATCATATTAACTTGAATATGTTTTAAAGAAAAGAAAAATAAAATAGCAGAGAGAAAAATCACATGAAGAGTAACGACAGCCTGCTTTGCCCAATTTTTATTTGATATTTTCTGTAGAATATAACTTAAATCCGTCTCTCCCTTCGTGAAGTCTCTCCAATCTGAAGGTCATTTCTCTGAATTAAAGGATGAGAGTGATTTATTTCATTGATTAAAACAGGTCATTGTTTTGGAAGGTCCCTTCCAACTCTGGTTATCTGTTTGATCTGTTTAGTTACAGAAGAGAATTATGCAACATAAAATTAAACAGAGCAAAAAGTGTCATTCCTGCACTATAATCCTGTTCTAAATGGTCCCCATTCCAATAGCTGCTTTTAGAAAAAGGAATACTTTGGAAAATTTGATTGTTTTTCTCCACATCATATACGGGTTGGCTTTTTTATTGTTATGTGTGCCTCCAGGGCAGATAGATGTCTAGCAATCTAAAGCTTATTATAATCCTTAAACTGTCTTTTGGCATTTCAGGTTGGCATCACTCTCTTCACTGTTTCTCACAGAAAATCACTTTGGAAGCACCATGAAGTAAGGCTTATTTTATTTAACTGGGTTTTTAAAAATCCATTCTATGTTATCCATGTCTGCTAAAGGAATAAGATCAGCTTGGTATGTTATTGCTGGATAGGTTGAAAACATACATAGGAGCTTTCATTATCTGAATTAAGGGGCAGAATCAAACAGAAGACTTACTCTTTAATTATTCTGGTCTCAAAGCATAAAGTTTTAAGCCTAGGAATTAGCTTGAAGGCATTATAACTCTTTTGATAAGTATGGGAAGTCCCAAGGTCAGGTTGAGGATTATCTGTATATAGAAACCCAAGATACAGAGTCAACCTTAATGTTATCAGTAAATTGGGAATCAGGATTGAGTTTAAAGAGAAGTAATTTGAAGAATATATATATTTTAAAAGCTGTGCTTTGGCTTTATTTATTCTTCCAAAACTCACTGTTGTCTTTTATTTAACTTTTGTTGTACAAATGGTATTACTTAATGCACACATGAAAAATACAGAAATTGAATTGCTCCTTTCAAATCCAGGGAGCAGCACTGCCAAAAAACCAGCTTTGGCAGCAAAATCAGCTGATCAGTGGCAGGAGAGGAAAATCCTCCTACCATTCAGCAGCCATCTTGAGGGAAGTCTGCTCAGAAATTGAATTACTTTTAAAATGAATTTATGTATCCATGATGGCGAACCTATGCCACACGTGCTGGAAGTAGCATGAAGAGCCATTTTTCTGGGCATGCCAGCTGTCATCTATTGCTCTTCCAGGTTCCAGTGTGTGCATGCGCGGCGGCTAGCTGGTCTTCGTGCACGAGAGAGCGCCAGAAACAGAAGAGCAGCTCCCCAGAGTGCATGTGTGCGCCAGCCAGCTGGTCTTCGCGCATCTGGGAGCACCGGAAACTGGAAGAGCAGCTCCCCAGAGCGCATGCGTGTGCCAGCCAGCACGCAGTCTTCGCGCGTGCATGCAGGTTAGAAACCAGAAGACCAAGCTTCTGGTTTCCATTGCTCCCACGTGCGCATCAGGGAGCTGCTCCTCTAGTTAGCCACCGCTATTATATATTATATATCACTTAATTTTGTGTGTGTGTGTGTGTGTGTATGTATGGCATTCAGCTTTGTTCGGGTATTTTCCCACATCATTGTAGTTGTGCTTTTAAAGTTGTAGCAATGTTTCGGCAGAATCTCATCTGCCATCATCAGGCTTCTGTATAGTGTTCATCTGGATGAACACTATACAGAAGCCTGATGATGGCAGATGAGATTCTGCTGAAACGTTGCTACAACTTTAAAAGCACAACTACAATGACGTGGGAAAATACCCGAACAAAGCTGAATGCCATACATGTAAGTACCCGCGAAAACTTAAGAAATATATATATGTATGTATGTATGTATGTATGTATGATATATGTATGTATATGTATATGTATATGTATGTATATATGTATATATGTATAATATATATTGGTAAAGTTTCCTTGTTTTTGTTTGCTATTGAATTTACCATTCTAAAGCACTGCTGTAAACATAAGCATTTTTTTTTACCCTTATGAACCTTTTTCAGATTTACTTTTTTTTCATGATTTTCCTTTTATTTTCCTAAGAAAATAGGGTCACTATACTTATCACCCATCCTTTGAACAGATTAATATTTGCATTGGCCTGAAAGTTTACTAGAATGCCTCACATCAGTTGTTTCTGCCTGTCTTACAAGAGCCAATAGAGTTAGTATGCTTCAGATCTCATCTGTTAAACAATTATCACCTTATGGGAACTATATGGGACATATAGTTTTCTTTGTCACTATACCTGACTTTTGGAACAGTTTACTTTTGAGGCCTGTTGATCTTGATCTTGCACTTCTTAGGAGACTCTTAAAGATCTGACTGTTCCCACAGACACCATGCTGGGACATTGCATGAATCAGCATTTTGAACTCTGAGACTGTATTGTTTCATTCCTGTGGTTTTTTTCCTCAGCCCTTTTTTTCCTCAGTGCAACTCTTTTTTCATGTTTTTTTTAAAAAATGCTCTGAATTCTTTTTAACTCTGTGTGAGTCACCCAATGTCACTGGCAAGTAAGCAACCTTAGAAATTGACATTGTAAGTAAATAAATTGAAAACTTAGCTAAATATTTTTTTCTTATTTTTGAGTGTTATGAGCCAGAGTTTTGCTTAGATTCTGTTATATTTTTCTTCTAAATTTCTAATCATAACCGCATTGTCACTGAAACTTCCTTTCAAAAATATATCTATAGATATATATATAGTATAGAATAATGGAAGAATAAAGCCATAATAAACCATTACAATAAAACCAATTTTATACTCCTCTGAATCATGTACATTTATCTCAAGGATAATTAAAGAAGATTGTTGGTTTTTCTGTATTAATATTGCACATTGTGATTGCTCATAAATATAATCAAAACTTTGTTAACAGTTAGGAAAGGTAAGTTTTGTCATTAGTTTGTTCTAGCTAAGTTATTTTTTAATATAAATCACTTGTTTTAATACCTATTGTCTTTAATCACTATTTGAAGAATAAAAGATTATTATTTAGCAATTCGTGAGTTTCAATAATAAAAAGCATTGAATTCATTTTTTAAGGATAGGGCTTAGACCATTAGTTTAATTGTCATGGCCAGCAGATGGTGATCAAATGTCCACATTTTATATTTTTATCTTTTTCGCAAGGGTGATGTCTGAATATGAATTCCTCTAGATGATCCTTATCTAAACAGATGCATACTTTTCACTCTTTAAATATCCAAATTTGCTGACTCTTTTTTCTTGTCTCCCCAGTTTTATCTTCACATGGATGGAAGAGGCAACTATGAGTTCAAGAAAATTACTGAAGAAACTATTGAGTTTGGTTCATAACCCCCATCCCTGGCCATCAACAGCTATGACTGTTAACAATACTGGACTTGGAAAACGTACATTGTGGTGTAACAAAGCTACTTGACTTACTCTTAAATTGATTACTAGGAATACGATAACAGGCTGTCAGTACTTTTGTTATGATGTAGAATATTACTAATTTGTGTTCATGTTGGTTTAATTATTAATATGCTCTAAGAATGTTCTTATTCCTGTGTTTTTTTAAAAAAAAATCTGCCTAAATTAAATTGGGCTTAAATCACTGAAATGTTGATTCATCCTGGGATGTAAACAGTCTGAAGTCAACTATTTTGACTTCTGTTTGACCATACTTCCTCTGGGGAAGGCCCTTATTAAAATTAGATTCACTACCTCTTCTGTACCCATTACAACAGATATGAATTTCTAGGTCAAAATCCTAATATATCAGTTCATTATATGTACTCTTTTCAGGATAGGACTTGTTGTATTACTACAACATAGTCTAGGGAAATTGGCCTTTATGTTAGTCGTGACTGTGAAGACAGTCTTCTTGCAGCAGTATGCTGTATTGATGGGAGAAAAGACCATTAGCATTTCTTTGCAAAAAGATAAAAACTCCATCCAAATCCTCTGGCCATTGCTGGTCACTACTTTTCAATCCTTTCCATTTTTCTCCTGCTTAGTGCAAATAAAATAACCATATTCCATTTGGCCTTTACATCCCAATTTCAGAAGGACAAATAAGAGGAATGAGAATGGGGAGAAAAATAAAGAAGAAAGAAATAAAATAATTCCCAAATCCTTGTCATGGAATAAAGATCATGGACATTCTCGCTTACGAGAGGTCTGATCTTTTTGTAATTTGTAGAATGTAGTGTGCAAGTTTGAAATGAAATGCCATGCGTATCTGCCACAAGGATTTGGATTTTTCGGAGAAGGCTTTTGCTTACTGGACATTTTTGTACCTGGCATGTAGGTCTATAATATGTGATTTTTTTTAAAAAAAGAATGTAAACTAAGTAATGCCAGAGACACAGCAGTTCAGAGTCACCAGGAAACAGTTCAGAAACTTTTAGAACTATTTTATAATTATTACTTGAAGAATTGTTTGGCTTCCTGTCAATTACTTTTGTAAAAACAACTGCTTAACTATAAATAAGCACCTTTGAAACAGGCATGTGGTAATACTTACATATGATGATTATAAATTATTGTCCAGATTTATTGACATGGATGGGACTGGAAGATGTGAGTTGGTTAGTCTGGCTATGTAATTGATTACCATTCTTCTAAGAAATCTTTAAAAGCTGTGCTGTATGACATGATTTTGTCCTTATAATAGAATATCCACATGCACTTAACATGATGGCAAGCACTACATGCAAAATAAATGTGGTTGGTGTCCGTCCCCCCCTTGCTTAAAATCAGCATTTGTTCTTAATGATTAGCCAATCATTAATTATCTCTCTTTCATGGGAAATTTGAAATTTGTCAAAGTTCCAAATAATTCATCAGATTTGGTATTTTTCTGAAAAGTCAGAGTTTTCATGTGTGCTGGGTAAATGGGTGGAGAGTTGGGTTAGAATAAATTATCTGAGAAATGCAAAAATAAATGTTAAGTAACTATTTTCAGTTTAAATATTACAGTAAATAACTAGTTTCAGTTTGTTGCTATTTCATATTTGGCAAAGAATTGCCTTTTTTTATAATTACTTCAATTTTTTTTCTCCCTAAAAGCTGATATTGATTGTATTAGTTGCTATGAGTTTACAGACAATGCATCAGGACATGTCACAATCTGAAACAAGCAATCCAAGCAGTGAGACTATGATACCAATTTAGCATAAATCGATTGCTTGGAATAGTTGTTACAGATTGGATGGAAATCTAATGTCTGGAATAAACAAAGCTCTGCTTTGAATTTGGTTGCCATGCTTCTGGTGAAAACTTCTTTTTCCCCTATATGATCTTTTTCTTTTCTTTTTTTGTGCGGCTATTCTACTGAGACCAGCTTTTTCAAGAAATTCCTATGAAAAAAACTGCTATTGTTAAAATACATACATACATACACACACACACACTTTACAGGAAATCTGGGCTACAAGTGAGTAATAGTCAAAAATGGCATGTATGTTTTTGTTACTAACTGGAAAGCACCCTAAAGCACATAGCATCTTTTGTAGAAAATCCAGGATTGCTTAATAGCAACATTTTTCATAGAGTGGGACATTGCATTGCTTGGGAAGTAGAGCTAATTGCTTATTCTTCAATCTCCCTTCAGCCACCACAACCCTATAAAATCTTCTCTGAATCTAGAAGAAGATTCTGAGGGATATAAACTGTTGGGAAGAACCCTACATTCTGTGAACAAAAAAGCATTTCTACTTATATGGGAAACTCTCCAATGAATATTACCCACTGGGCACAATTTTAAAAATGTTATCTCTCAGACGGAGCTGATTAACTTCAGTAACTATTAATCAGTGATACCGGTTGATTTACTTCAGTGCTACATGAGACCCTGATGGGAAATGGTGGTTTTAGATGACTTTCATTAAGCTCAAGCTTCATATTTTTATTCAGAGTGCATCAAAAGTCAACCTGCCCCATGAGAAAACTAGTATGAAGGTAAAGATAACCCGAGCAGTGCTCGAGGGGACAAGAGTTGTTTAAGGTTATGCTTTTCGTCTGTAATGTTTCAAAGGTTATGCAAAATGATTCACGGATCAGCCATGATGGTCTTGTCAGGGTCATATGTTTTGATTGATACTGTTAACAATGTATTAAACTGGAAATGTTGGTATGATGTAAAAGTCAGCAAGAATGAAGCATCAGCATACTTTATACTACATTTAGCCTGGTAGTATTTTGTACTATAGTTGATCACAAGAGACTCTTGTTTCCTTGGGAAATAATTGCAGTAATTCATTACTTTATTGCTTGTAAAGTCAGTTCGAAGGAAAGGCATATGTACGATTTTTCTATATAAGTGCCTCTGGATAATAAAATTGAAACATATAACCACCTAGTATTTTTTTTTCTTTTCCATTGGTGTCAAATGAAAAGTTTTTACAACTGTACAATTGATCGCCATAGTGATTCAGCTTTCATAATTTAAGGGGCTGATCCCAGTTAAAGTGAAAAAATTATTTTCACATTTTATCATATCAAGCCTAAATTACAAACATTATGGAGTCCAAATTTCTGTGTGTGCATGCCTGCTGGTTTTCAGTTTTCTAACACAGGATCCATCCAACAGAAAATCAAGAACCTACTGTAAAATAAATAGCCTTGATTTTGTTTCAAGGCTACTTTTTAAATCCAATCTGATTGCAATTCCTATTTGTTTTTTCTTCATGGTAAAACAAAGGAAGAGAAACGTACAACTTGGAAAATGTATGTTGTATGGATGCGCATCAATCCAGCTGCCCTCTCCTTACTCAGAACATATTTTGCTCTAATCTTTTAAAACACAATAACTAATTTCATACATTATGGTTTGTTTCCTTTTATCTCTATGTTGCTTGACCTCAGCCATTGAACTTAGCCAATATGAGGAGTAAGTAATTACAGTAAGTAATTTACAGTGGCTTTTCTGATTACACCTATTCTACCTAGCTTTGGTTGCCAGTAAGGGACTTGACTAAAGTGTTAATTTAACTCCTGGCTAAGAGTTATTGTTAAAAGGATTTTCTTAAGGAGTTGTCATTTCACATCTCACTATAGCATGGTGGTCTCTGGTTGCAACATGACAAGGCTTACATAACCATTTTTCTTCTTCACACACATCTCATAGATCACTGCATTCCTTACCCATGAGAATCATTTTTTCTAAGCTATTATGACACACATATGCGTATGTAGGCATATATAAAAGTATGTGAGTGTGAACCATAATGCATGCATACACGTGTATGCTTGATATAGTCCTTTGGGGGGAGGGTGTTGAACCAAGAATAACTAATGGAATTGTTTTATGTGAGAAACTTCAATAGATTTGATGAGTTTCCGTGCCTGTGATCTCTTTGATGATCCCCTTTGGTCTTTATTACCATAATGGGAGATAAAGCAGACTGTAGAGGAGAAGTTTACATTATAAATACTTGGCATTGAACAACGCAATGACTAAAACGTAAGTGGGGGAAAATGATCTATGTGAAATTAAATCAATGGCAGATTATGCAAGCACTTTTCAAGCATGATATACACTATTTAGGAAAGTGGAATCAAAATTCTGATAGGGCTAGAGTCCATTTTTGAATATTGTGATCAACATGCAAACAGGTTTTGATTGAAGCACTTTTATGCTTGCTATTAAAAGACATTAGCACTACATATGTTTTTTTCCCTCCAGACAACACATTCATGGCATGTTAAAGCACTCCCTGTCATTCATGTCTGTTCAAATGCTCTGTTTATTATAATGGGGCAATTTCCCACTCATTTTAAAAGCCTTGCTTGGCAGATTATCCAATGGAGTTGGAAGAGCTAAGCGTAAAATTCTATTGATCCTCAGTCTCGGGGAGGGAAATGAAAATGGAAAAATGTTTTATTTCTCTATTCACTTTATTAGACATAGTCACTTTTGGGTTTTTTAATTGATATTTACGGGGGACCTCCAACAGTTTTCTACTTTCTATAGAGTTTTATCCCTTTTAATTAATACAGAATCGTCTGATAGCCTTTTACTCATCAAAAGGTTTAAATCGGTCAATGTTCTCATCAGATTATAGCTTAAGTAATCAGATTGCTCTTGGCTGTGATGAGTAGGAATGATAGGAGTTGAGATCTAAACCCTGAAACTGCTAATAATTAAATTGGGCCTAAAAAAATCCATTTTATAGGCAACTGTAAAAATATAGACATACCACCAATTTAAACCAATGCTATTCCATGCAATATACTCACATTTCAGACATCATTATAGAAGTACATAGTGCATACAAGTACTGTCCTTTAGAGGCACAGATTGCTCCAGTTATTTATGGGATTTTAGTTTCTATTGAACATTCATCACACACAAAAAGAAAGAAATCTTGGATTTCAGGAGAGGTAAGTGTTACAGCTTTTATCTGTTCAGACATTAGGGAGAGGGTTACAAGTAAAATTTAAGTCAGGTACTTCTCACTCAACTAGTAAGCAAGTGAAGGATGAAAAAAAGCAGTCCTAGATTTGTGGCAGAAGTAATTTACTGTAAGAAATGGCAATCCTACAACTTGGGTCACACATTGATGCTTTCATTCCACCTGACTTAATAGCAGGTCAGTATGTGCAAAAGTGGACCATTCTTTACTATAAACCCAGATGCCAACTCTTGTCTCCATATTTTCTCTGGCAACAATACTTCTGTTTCTGCTGTTATTAGCCATAATACCCACTCAACTTTTCAATATGATATCTGCTGTTATTTTCCAGTATGCCAATTCATTCTAGGTAAAGCACCTTTCTGCTGTGAGCATAAAAGAATAAATGTACATAATCCGATATCTGAAGTGGTGTTATGCAAAAACAAGAAGGAATGCCTTAAACTTCTGGAACATTCCATCATTGATAGCTATCCTTGTGAGAAAAAGATTCTAGAAAATAATGGTTTCTTTCCCCCTCAAAACTTCACCATGTCTGTTTTTAGTGGAATACAATTTTTGCTTTTTGTTGATTAAAGCTGTTGATTTTTGTTGATTAAAGCTGCTTTCCCACCCCCATCACTGGAGCTTAAAAACAGGAAATGCTAGATGAATGCCTACTTTTAAACATACTGTGGAGATGTAGAAAGAAGATAATTGAGAAATTGCACAATTTGCCATTTCAAAAAGGTTCTCTTGTTTAAACCTTTCAACAGAACTAGACAATTTGTTTTAAGTTTTAAGGAATTTAAGGATTTTTTTCTCTCCGTGGGATCCAGCTTCTCCAGCAAATGAAGGTAGGATAATCTTTACTAATAATCCTAGGAATGTTAGTGTATCCTAGTTATTTCCATAAAAAGTTTATATTATA